AAATGGGGTCAAGGTTTATGAGCGGATTATAAACGACCCGTGCGCGACTTGTATATGTTCAATGTGTAAGGATAAGATGGAGCGAGATAATAGGGAAGCACCTATTGAATGGAAGGGGAAAGTATGGGGACCTATTGAATAGATATAAAGGGAAGTAATATAATTAAATGAAAGCAGAACAAGTCAATTACGCACAATGACCCCGCTTTCGTAAATCTCGATGTAAATTTCAACTGATGGTTAGGTTTTTTTATCCAACAAAAATGAAATTTTTAAATCTCGACGTGTGCAGATTTTTTTACTTTTAAGCCATCTTTCTTCGTTTTCACTTTCCAAAGATAAAGGCAAGACATCTATCATTCATCAGCTAGAGGAATGCCAAGGCACTCCTTTCTTGTTTGGCGACTCACTCGCCTCTTCTCTCCAGGTTTGCGCATAAGCTTTACCCGTGATCCAGCTCTCATCGTTCACGTACTTAACACCAGCAAAAATGAGGTTCACCATACACGGTAGACAATGGCTCGACGGATTTAATCCTTTGGACACGCCGTCTTTTTCTTCATCAGCTACCGAGGATCTCTTTGGAAGGGCATCTGTTTCTAGTACCGCCGTTGCAGACAAAACTTTCGAACCGCCCATGTCCCCCACCTATGCAGACGACCAGCTGATGTCCGTCTAGGATTAGCGACAATCACGCGTCTTGGATCCGCGTCTCTTAAAAAGACTGTTCTAATTCGCGTAAATTATCCGCTGATCATGAGAAAACGTAAATCTCGTAGTGAAAGGGAAATCCAAACCCTCATTTTATTTCGTCGAATCACCAATTGTTTTGCCATCCGTCAAGTTGCCAGGCAGGATCCCATCCAGAGCTCACTGACGACCCATTCCATTCATAGTTGATCTCGCCAACGCCATCAAAACACACCAATAACCTATTCCGAACTAAAGAATGAGATTCACTATTCATGGAGGAGACGAGATGGAGTATTTCACTCCTGCCACAGCCCCACTTTGCAGAAAGTCATCTTCTGCGTTTCTGTATAGGAGACCGTCAGAGGCAACAGCCATCGACGCAGTTGAACAGATGCAGCTGGCGTCGGATCTTGGAGATACTGGACACGATGCTGGCGGTGAGCTTTCCTCTACATGTTGGCTTCTGTTTCCTTATATTGCTTACACAGATTCAGCCATCATTACCAACCTTGAGACCTTAAGCATGACGGAGCTTCCTGAGAACTTGAGCACAGCAGATCGTCCTGAGAGCGTGATCACAACGGATTCTACTGCTGCGAGAATGAGCTCGACGGAGTCTCCTGAGAGCACTAAAGTTGAGCAATCTTCCTTTGTAGCTTCGGTGCTATGGATAAACCACATTGGCAGAAAAGCAAACACTCTCTTCCATACGTTCGTGCCAACCAGACTGCAAAGTCTCGCCACCAACGTGACATCAAGGGTGTTGTATGGCGTCCCCGGCGCTCGAAGCCTCGAGGCTTGGGCTGCTCAGAAAGCGACCCAAGTTGGTTTAGATTTTACGTTGCAATTGAGCCTTTCAACCTCAAACATGGATGTGGAAAAGGACGAGATTGATGCGCCAATGGCCTCGCAATTATCTACACTTAGACAATCAGTGGCGATGGCTCACATCACCAGAATTTACACAAGCACCAAGGGCGTCGTGAGTTCGGCATTCGCCATTGCTTCCTCAGTGGACAACAGATTGCTCGTCACCATGCTCATCGCAGGCACTCTCAGGCTGAGCGTCGCCGTAGCCTGCAATATCATGAAAGTTGCGTCAAGATTCGTATTGTACCTTCTGTTCTGCTCGGGTATAGGCCAGGTCTTGATCGCCCTTTTTTGTTTCCTGTTCATACTTTTCGTACCATGCTTAGCGCCAAATTATCTTCGCCACGAGCACACCACTTACTGATGGTCCAAGGGTGATATATTTATTTTGAATATTCAATAATAAATGGATAATTAAAGCGTGACACGGTTTCGCTACGGCTTCACGGGAACGCGCTTTGCGCAGAGGATTGGGGAAGACAAACTGCCGACAAGTTGAATAATATAAACGGGGAAAGAAGTTTGTTGTTTTGATGGTTTGATCTGCAACATCGGTTCTTTCTTGAAATCGCATGCACGGCGCAAGCTAGGATTACAAGCTGGCATCTATATCCCGACGATTGCATCCTGTCGCCCTCAAAGAAGCATGAAATTAGAAATATGTCGTTCAAATGGGAACGCAGTCAGACTCATAACGAGAGCCAAAAATTGGATTGGCTTTTGCCAACTGCAGCCTCAGTCTTGTGCCAGGGAATCGATTTTCCGCAGTTGAATTTCGATTGACCCGCAGTTGTTTTCCGTGATATAAAAACTTGCCTCCTCACTTCAACGACCACCACCCTCAAGCATTATTAGACCTTGTCGTTAAAACCAGGTCCGCCGTTTTGGGGTTACCAATGCATACCTAGAATCTAGATCCCCTCACGATCAGGAACAGCGAGCGGCAGCGAATTTGTCATGTTGCTTTCAGCTGGTCAATTCGTTTGCCTGCTGGAAAAACGTCGCCTTTGATGCTGTCCTTGCAGTTCATCTGAATCTCTGGGATGATTCCCAAATTTTTGCTTTTCAAGAGGTGCGATCGTGCTTTCGGGCTCGGTCAATCCTCTTTTTCCAAGATCAAATGCGAAAAAAAGTCCAGTCCAGAAGCCTCCCTGATGGAGTCTGCTATTTTCCAGAAACAACCAGCTGTTGCTGTGACGCCTCTTCTTTACTTTCACCTCTTTCACCTCAGAAAAGGAAAAAAAAAAAAAGGGAATAAAAAAAGCACATGGATGGAGGGAAGAGAAAGTTTTAGGATTTGGTCAAAAATGAGAAAAGTCAAAAGCAAAAGAAAAATGCTCAACGCCGGGATCGAACCGGCGGCCTCTCCCGTGTGAAGGGAACGTGATAACCACTACACTAGTCGAGCTTCTATTTTATCTAATTGATTGAGCAGGGTGTAGTAGAAGACATAAAAAACTTGGGAGCTAAGAAACTAGTTACTTTACTTCTGTTCCTTCTTTTTATGACTGTGCCTTACTTCTTTCTCTGTTTTCACTGTTATGAGTCCTATATATGTTTTCTCTTCAATTCTGTGCTTCTCTCTGTGTCGCAGAGATCCCCTTCACTGAAGGTCGTTTACATCATCGTGTACCTTTCTTCTTCCAGCTCTTTTTCGCTACTTCATCTCTTCGCATAGTGTCTTAGCTCCCAGGCTGTTTTCGTCTTTCTTTTCAGCCTCCTCAATCAGTTTAATAAGAATAGAAGCTCGACTAGTGCAGTGGTTATCACGTTCAATTCTGACCATGGCCATCTTTGCCAAGTCTGCCGTTGGTTCCGGCACGCAGCTTGGCAGGAAAGACTTTTGTAATGGAAGTTGTAAGGGAACGAAAAGTAAAAAGAAGGAGGGCATGCGTAGATACCAAATTGTTTTATAGTAATCTCAAATCACAAATCAAACAACAATCACATTATCATCATCCTCCTTCTTCAGCTCACTGGCCATGTACCCAGGCTCCATCTCGAGGTTTTTGGGAACACGCTTGGTCTTGTTGAACAACGGCTTGAGAAGGTAGTCACCCTCCACAACAAGCAAGAACGAAAACAGGAATCCTCCGATGGCGATGCAGACACCCATGTACCGGAAGGCTTCTCTTGGATGATCAACGTACAAACGGAAGAGCCTGGACCGTGGAAAAAGGGTTATCGAAACATGTTTCAGAAAGTTGAAGGAAGGTAAATTAATATATACTCACACATTGAAAAGAGCTCCGCCAATGTTTCCGCCGGCACCAATGAGACCAGAGGCGGCCCCCATGAAGGGACTCACAAACGGCACGATACCAAAGGTGGATCCAGCTCCAGCCTCGGTAGTGTAAGAAAACTGTATGGAAAAGACCATGCGTCAGCACTTTTGAATTTCTACAAACTGATCCCAAAAAAAAGAAGAGAAAGCTCACAATGATGAGGGCAAGAATGGATCCAGACATGGTGGGAGAGTAAGAAAAGCCAATCAACGTCACGGCGCTCACAAAAAACAAAGCAGCCTGCCAAGCAATCCTTCCCCTCTGTCCAAACCGATGCGCACAAACATCAGACATGAGACCGCCCGTGGCCCTCGAGAAAATGTTCATGAGCCCAAAAATGCCTCCAAAGAGCGCGCCAGTGGCTTGATCAAGGTTGAAAGTCTTGATAAAGTAGTTGCCAATGACGCTGTCGACGCTGAGCTCGACGCCAAAGCAGCATGCGTAGTGGAACATGAGTATGAGGACGGCTGGGTTGGAAAGACAGTTGAGGAGAATGGTAGTGACGGGCACTTTGGCGGCCACGGCGTTGCCTCCGAGCTCGTGGGTGGGCTTGTCGTGTGGGATGGCGCTGACGTCGGATGGTGCAACGGGAGTGGTGTTGATAGACTCAACATCAGCAGCTGTGGAATCTTCGGCTGAACTCGATGTGACATGCGGCTTGTCGTCACCAAACCTGAAGCAAAGAGAGGCAACGATCCACAAGAGCACGACAGGGACAAGCATGGAAACCCTCCACGCCTTTCCAACATCCAATCCAGCCACATTCTTGAACAGATTAAACACCTGCGGCATCAACAGGTACGTGACGCCGGCTCCCATGTTTCCCCATCCACCTGCAATGGCGTTTGCCGTGCCAACGACATTCCTGCTAAACAATGCCGTGGTCCAATACTGACATGGCACAAACGCCGTACCAAGCACGCCGATGAAAAGCCTCGATACCACAATACCAGTGGCATCCTTGGAAAGCGTCGATAGCGCCAAAGGCACGGAACCAACCAGCAGCACGATCCCCATGACCCTGGAGCTGCCAAGCTTGTCAACAAGCGGACCGATCAGCAATCGAAACACAACGGTGGCAGACACATTGGCAATGTCCGAGTTGGAAATGTCGGATTCGGTCATGTTGAGGTTGGGACCGACCGTCTTTTTGAGCAAGGGAGCGTATGCGAACCAGCCCGTGAATGCTGTGAAAAAGGCCAGCCAGGAGATGTGGAAGGAGAGCATGTGGGGTCTGGCGAGGGAGAGGAGTTTGATGTTTGTTGCGCGACCAGTTGGGTCGAAGGCCAGCTTTTGGTTTGTGAAGATGGAAAGCTTGGATGAGGATGAGGGGGGCTCGTTGTCGGAGATAGAGGGAGTAAGATCATTGGGGAATGCTGTGGGAGGGATTGTCATGGTCTTGTCTTTGATCATGATGGGCTCTCCAGCAGAGGTAGCTTGTTTTTCAGGATAGGGCGTCATTGAATGCGATGAGGTGGTTAAGCTTTGAGTTCAAAGCTCTAGGGATGCAAGTGAATGGCCAGAATGGAGGAGGTAGTGATGAGGGTTACGACGTGGTGTGGATGTGAAGAGGTTTATGTATGCATGTGTGTAGTGTCGAATGCTGAAAGCCTGAAGGAAAGCGTATTATGTGTAGATCTCCCAGCTTCCAAACTATGGTAGCCAATCCCCAGCGAGTTGCGGGCAGATCAAGGGCTTTGTTCGATAGGGCGGAGGATACGTGGTACGGGATAGGGGATAGCTGATAAGGGGGTGTAGAAGATTATCGTTGAGATTATTTTTTAACCTCCCCACAACAGATTGATATTTTTGAGGTGTGCGGGGTGTGGGGGGTGTGGGGGGGGGGGGGGGGGTGTGGGCGTGGGTTGGGGGGTTTGTGGGGGGGGGTGGGGAGAACATGTTGGAGTCTTTGGGTTCGGGGGTTTGGGTGGGACCGTGACGACGTGGAGCGGTTTCGAAGGC